TGGCCACGTAAAGATGTGGGCCCAGTGGTAACAGAGGCTGCTGCTGTAGCTGTGGCTTGAGTGACTGTGGCACTGGTATGACGTCTGCCTGATGTGGAGGCAGAAGTATTGGCACTCTCCACTTCATCATCAGAGTCATGCTCTCTCCTCACCTCTAAGATTTTAACAGTGGGGTGTTGAGTTTTAAAATGCCTGTGCAAATTCTTTGTGGAGCCAGACTTAAATGATCTTCCGGCAAAAATTGCACTTAGCCTTACTGTCTGCCTCAAGCAAAAAGTACATCCAAATGCTGATTCTTTTCTTTGGCTCATTTGGCAGAATGACGACGGACGGTCCTCCCCCTCCTTTCATGCTGCTGTTGTGCAAGCAGCCGACTTGTGCACAACTCATGCACAACTCATGCGACGTTTGCATATGAAATAAGAGTTCCTCTCCGGAGAGACGGAACCTCCGGCGAGACGGAATCTGCCGATTCTGACGCACTTGCTTTTTTTTTTTTTCTACTGAAGCACTCTTCACGTGAGTTCTGTGAGTTCTGGCGGTGAAGTTTTGGTACCAAAACCTTGTTTGATGCCCATGCCATCACAGTGCTTGACTGGCCAGCCAACTTGCCGGACCTTAACCCTATTGATAATCTATGGGGTATTATTAAGAGGAAAATGAGGGGAACCAGACCCAAAAACAAAGAGCTGACAGCAAGCATCAAGGGAATCTGGGCTTCCATAACTCCCAGGCAATGCTACAGGCTGAATGCATCAATGCCACGGTGCATCGAGGCAGTGATTAAGGCAAAGGGATTTCCAACCAAGTATTGAAGATTGACATATCATTTTGAAAATACCATATTTTGATTGGTTTGATGTGATCCTAATTATTTTCTCTTTTTTTCTGCAAAAAATGAGAAGCAAATGATTTCTCAACAATATTCCAATTTTTTTGAATTCATGTTTTCGTGGGTTTCATGAGCTGGAAGCCCAAATTATGTAAAGATAAACAAATATTTACTTGAAATCATTTAAATTGTGGGCCCTGAATCTATAATCTATGAAAGTTTAACTTTTTGAATGGAATTGTGGAAATAAACTTTTCCATGATATTCTAATTTTTTGGAAAGGGTCTGTACATCACAGCATCTGTTTTTTTCAGACTGCAGCTCAGCTGGAGCTCGAGAAGAGTGTTGGGCATCTTAGATTTAAAAAGAGTGGCTCAGTGATAACACAGGCAAACACAAAAATGTGAACAGAAGTGAACTACACAAAAATCTTACTAGGCAATCACATCTCCACACCAGATCTCATGCAGCTACTTCATTTCTCTTCAAATTAATACGGAAGTAATGATTTGGCCAAGAAAGACCATCAACCCCTGCCTGGTTTGCAGTGTTGCCTTGATAGCACAAGGAAATGGAGAACCATTAAGGACTCGGTAGGGGATTCTATCAGGATTGAAAGTGTCTCTCCAGTCTAGAAGATGAACACAGTACTTTTATACACTCAGTAGATTGTGACCTTGTGGGGGTGCTGTGGAGGTTAGCCCCTCTTCAGCTGCTCAAACACCTGCTGACACTGCTCTGTCCACTGGACCGGATCTAAAGCACTCTTGCGGGTCAGAGCTGTCAAGGGGCTGGCCAGATCAGCAAATCCTGGGATAAAGCGCTGATAATACCCCACCAACCCCAGGAACTGTCTCACCTCTTTTTTTTTTACTTGGGCTGCGGACAGGATGCTATGGCTGCTGTTTTATCTACCTGTGGCTGCACCCGTCTGCTGCCCAAGCAGTCCTAAATACCGTACCTCCCTCCGTCCAACTGCACACTTCCCTGGGTTAGCTGTGAGCCCCGCCTGCCTCAGAGACTCAAGCACCGCTGCCAACTGCCGCAGGACTTGGTCCATGAGGCGTTGAAAGGTGGCTGGGGCTCCAAACAACCCAAACGGAAGTGTCACGAATTGGTACAAACCGTACGGAGTGGAGAAGACCATTTTTTCACGGGATTCTGGCGATAAGGGAATCTGCCAGTATCCCTTGGTTAAATCCAGTGTCGTGAAAAATTGAGCTGTGCCAAGCCGATCCAAGAGTTCGTCGACCATTGGATATTGGCATTGGATAAGCATCAAATCGTGACACCTCATTAACTTTGCGGTAATCCACACAGAACTGAACAAACCCATCCTTCTTACCCACTAGAACGATGGGGCTGCTCCAGGCACTGTGGGATTCTTCAATTACTCCCATCTCCAGCATCTGTTTTAATTCCTTCTGCACCACTTTGCATTTGTGCATCAGGAGACGGTATGGCCGTGAACGCACGGTTACACCAGGTGGTGTTTCTAGGTGATTCTGTATGAGTGTGGTGCGCCCAGGGAGGAAAGAGAACACGTCTGAAAAGCGCTGCTGAAGCTTTTCCACGTCCGCCCTCTGGGACGACGACAGGGATTTATTGCACGGAAGTGGGCTGGGCCCAGAAGCCCCCACCGCCACTGGACCAAGCTCATCTTCCTCCCTTACCGTATGTGGTAAATCGGTACAAACAGCTGGGCACATTCGCCGCTGCCCCCCGCATCCTGGCACACTGTACAGCCTATCCGTGATCATCATAAAATAAGCAAATGTCAGCGTCGTATCCAGCTGCTCCAGTTCCCCGTCAATTTTGGCCACTTGGTCAAAGGCAGCGTGCAACGTGTCGTCACGAGCCTGCCCAAGAGGGAAATCCTCTGTGGGACTAAACACTGGGGCGCGCTGAGCCGCTGCCACCGGCTCCGCGGATGCTCGCCCCCGCTCTGCAGTGCCTCCTGACCTCGTGACCGCGCTGCCCTTTCCCGATGACCAGGAACAGGACCCAAATAGCTGGCAAATCCCAGCCAATCTGTTCCTAAAACTAAAGAGTGCGCCAGACGAGAGTTGACCGCAAAACTAACACGCCACCCCCCCACCACCACCCTTATAGCGTACTACTATAGACCAGTGAACATCGGCATGCACACACCGCACCTTCACCCCCTCACCGCTATCCAACGCCCCAGGCCAAATCAGGCTCTCATGGATTAAAGACTGTTGGCAGCCTGAATCCATGATCCCCTGATGTATACCCCCTTGGTTCCTTACCAGAACACTGTATGTCCCTCTCGATCGGGGGAGGGGCGCTGGGGGTCCGTCCACCCGGATCAACTGTCCGACTTCCATTAACGGATAATCCCGATAATCCCCAGGTGACCGAACTGTCCGCACCGCCAGCACTCCTGCCCAGATGTTTGAGCGGCCCCCTGCGGGGCGGGCACAGCACTCCGCACGCCCGGCACCTGTAACAGTACAAAGCACTCCTGCGCCGTGCTTGGCTTCCCTCTTGTGGTTCCGTTTCTTTGTTGCGCCAGCACGTACTTCTCTGTCCACTCGCCTCCCCTCTCGGTCCCGGCTCCTACTAATATAAGGAGAGGCTTGATTCCTCGAATTGCGGCTGCACCTGCGTCGCCACTCCCATGATCTCCCTGCTGCAGCTGAGCACTAAGCTCCGCAGCGCCCCCACAGACCTATAAATCAGGCAGTGATGCATCAGATTTTATATGAATAATGTTTCTTTAAATGTTTTCTTGCTGTCTTTGAAAACTTAATTAGTAATCCACTTAAAATTCTTTATAAGGGTAAAGGGTAAATAATAAACTCAAAAAAACAAAAAAAAAGAGACTTTGGCTATGTCTGTTGAGACAGTGCTTTAAGTATACAGTATACAGACAAATCATGGGTCAGTGGAGGGGTGGGGTGTGGGCTGACATACAGTATCAGCAGTGTCTGAAGGTGTAATAAAACTCCTAGAGAAGGTGCTTTTACATTTGTGTCTTTTATTCTATTTGCCTCCCTGAAGTACCATAGAAGCTTGTGTTAAAAATGCATTTGAGTTTTTATTCCCTTTTAAGTGTATCTTTTTTTCTATTTCCATGAAGGGTAAAACAGTGACCCTTAACCTGAAGAATGTGAACTTTGAGGTTAAAACAAGAGCCCTGACATTGCCGTGTGCTGTTGCTACAATGGAACAGGTCTTTGACCTACTGAAAACAGAAATAGAACATGAAAGGCCCCAGCTGCATAGACTGAGGCTCATGGGTAATTAAATTTAACAATTTAACACATCAATCAACATAACCAGGTTGAATTATATCTAAATGTTCTTTGACTCCTCTAATCCAGAATTGATAACAATATGGACATTTATCTGGAAGCTGTCACCGGATCTATTATTTATTGCTTGCAGGTGTTCGGATTTCTGCTTTTGTCAGTCCGGATGATAAAACGCATCATCAGAAAAGCATTGTTGGCTTCCTGCAGCCAGGCAAGGCTGACCAATGTGGTGGCTCTGTCAAAGTCTGTTATCTTTCTGTGACAAAACCAAGCGCTGCTGTACCACCATCACAGAAAATAAAAAAAATCAAGTTCCCTGGCTGAAGAAGCAGAAGAAAGAAGAAGGAGGTCAGGCTGGTGAGGAACCCCAGCATTCATTCTTTCAACAGGCTGTTTGTTTTAATTTCAGGTATACATATAGAGCCATAAACTTTTTTTGTGTGTTTTCTGTCTGACAGTACAGTGTGGCACCCATTCATTAAGCTGCTTGGTTTGGAAGTTTGGATATCTTAAAGCTATTAGTGAAGGCTGGAGCTGAACAGAAGGTTGAGAATGAAGTAATAAGGCAACAGAGTTTCTCTATTCTCCAGGCATTGACCATCCATCCATCCATCCATCATCATCCGCTTATCCGGGGCCGGGTCGCGGGGGCAACAGTCTGAGCAGGGACACCCAGACTTCCCTCTTCTTGACACTTCCTCCAGCTCTTCTGGGGGGGACTCCAAGGCGCTCCCAGGCCAGCCGAGCGACGTAGTCGCTCCAGCGTGTCCTAGGTCTTCCCCTAGGTCTCTTCCCAGAGGGACGGCACCCGAGCACCTCCCGAGGGAGGCGTCCGGGGGGCATGCGATGTAAATGCCCAAGCCACCTCAGCTGACTCCTCTCGATGTGGAGGAGCAGCGGCTCTACTTCGAGCTCCTCCCGCGTGACAGAGCTCCTCACCCTATCTCTAAGGGAGCGCTCTGCCACCCTGCGGAGAAAGCTCATTTCAGCCGCTTGAATCCTTGATCTCGTTCTTTCGGTCATGACCCACAACTCATGACCATAGGTGAGGGTAGGAACGTAGATTGACCGGTAAATTGAGAGCTTCGCTTTTCGGCTCAGCTCCTTCTTCACCACAACGGACCGATACAGCGACCGCATTACTGCGGCCGCAGCACCGATCCGCCTGTCAATCTCACGCTCGATTCTACCGTCACTCGTGAACAAGACCCCCAGATATTTGAACTCCTCCACTTCTGTCGAATTCTGTCCATAAAGCTAATGAACAGAACCGGTGACAAAGGGCAGCCCTGCCGTAGTCCAACATGCACCGGGAATAGGTCCGACTTACTGCCGGCAATACAAACCAAGCTCCTACTCCAATCGTACAAGGACCGGACAGCCCTTAGAAGAGGGCCCTCGACCCCATACTCTCGGAGCACCCCCCACAGAATACCACGAGGGACACGGTCGAAAGCCTTTTCCAAGTCCACAAAACACATGTGGACCGGGTGGGCAAACTCCCATGAACCCTCAAGCACCCTGTGGAGGGTATAGAGCTGGTCGAGTGTTCCACGACCAGGACGAAAACCGCATTGTTCCTCTTGAATCCGAGGTTCGACTAT